CAGCGCCAGGCTCGGGGGTTCCCGCAGGGCCCCACCGCGGTCGCGCGGACCCCCGGAGCGGGCAGGGCCGTGGGCGGCAGGAACGGCTCCCGGCTCTGGAGGGGGGCCCTGTTGGGAGGCGCCAGCTCTTGTTACCCTAAAACAACAGATCAGGGCCCGTCTCTCCTTGAATCACCATTGATCTGTGTGGGTAACTGAGACCTTCCAGGCTCCTGGCCAGTGGACCACAGAGGAATTGTTACCTCCACCTGGCAGGTGAGGAAACTGGGGCACAGAAGGTCACATCACTTGCCCGGGCCCCATAGCTGGCCAGTGGTGAGGCTGGGATTTGATTTGGGGTCCTGGGGCTGCCACCGTCAGGAAACTCCAGACTGACTGCCCGTCTCTGCCCAGCTCCCAGGCCTTCCTTCCCTCTCCAGCACTGGCCCTGGGGGGACAAGACTTCTCCTGTGGGGGAGAAGTCTCCGAAGGGGGCAGGGCGCAGGGCAGGTGGGCGGCTCCATCCCAGCCCCTTGCTGGAGCAGCGACAGACAGACAGACTGGACAGACAGGCGGGTGTGGGCTGGCTCGGGTGTCCCCATCCTCTCTGGGCCTTGGTTTCCTCTTCAGACCTGAGGACCCTGGCGGGTTCCTCTCAGGGGCTATGCCTTCACCAGGGACAGCAGTTGGTAGGTCAAATGCCAGGGTGTTGCCGGGTTAAAGCAGAGGCCTCGGGGGCCAGGCGGTCCCCACAGCTGTGAGCTCAGCAGCACTGTCCCCCACCAGGTGCGGGCTCAGGCCCTCCCCACCCGCCTCCTGGCTGCTGAGCACCTGCCTGGTTCCCAGCGGCGGTGGCAAGGTGGGAGCGGCCGGGGGGCAGGGAGGGGCGTTCAGGGGCTGCCCAGGGCCTTTGCGCTCCCCAGGAACATCCCCAGGACCCCCCTGGTCCTTTCCTGCCCGGAGCCCCCCAGGGGGAGGACCTGGCACCCCACAGCCTCACAGGCTCCTGCTCCTTCGCGGCTGAGACTCAGGGAGACACAGTTCACACTCCCTGAAATCACCCTCGGTCTAAGTTCCGGGAGTCCTGATACACGCTCAGTCGTGCAACCAGCCCACGGCCAAGCGCAGAGCATCCGTCACCCACCGCCCACCCCACCCTCCCGCCCGGCTGCCGCTGGTCCCCTGTTCCCGTCACGCTCCTTTCCCAGAACACCTTGTCACTGCAGTCGCACGGTTGGAGGCCTTCGGGGGCTGGCTTCTTTCTCCAGGCGGAGAGCATTCACTCGTGAGCACCGCGTCCCCCCGACCAAGGAAGGCCTGACAGCCCCTCAGACGGAAACATGGAAAGATGAGACAGAAAGCCGAGGCTGGGGGGAGGGGCAGCTGGTGTTCAGTGGGAACGACAGGAGCGTTCTGGAGACGGGCGGGGTGGTGGTCCACATCAAGACGGCGGAAGTGGTACATTTTGTATCTGTCTCATCATAATGCAGCAAAGAAAGGCTTGCGATTCCTTCCTCCCTCGAAACACAAACCACTAGGAAACCAGGTGGGAAGTCTGGCCGTGCTTCTCGGGAGGAGGGGACGAGGGCCCCAGCACTGCGAGCAGGTTGGCCCCTCTCCTCGCAGGCGCCCGCCCCGGCCTCTCTTTCCTCTGGTGCCCGAGGGCGAGCGTCCTGTGCTGGCACCAAAGCTCATGGCCGAAGTCCTCCTCTTCCCACAGCGGAGGCTCTAGACTCAGCTGACGGCTGCGTCCCCGAGCCCATGGGCGTCACCTGGGATGGCCACTCGTGGGGGTCCCTTCCCTACTCACCGCCCTAGAAGCCTCAGGACGGACTCCGTCCTCGGACAGGACGTTCTCCCACAGAACCGCAGCACGGGCGCCCACATCAGGGCGTCCCACTGGGCGTCGGTACAGTGTCACCACGTAACCCTTGGGCTGAACCTGGCCACTGCCTCGACCACGTCCTCACAGTGGTTCTCCTTTCCGGCCCAGGGTCTGCTGGGAAACCACACCTGCGCTCAGCTGCGGCTCTTTAATCCCCGTTAATACAGAACAGCCCCGCCCTGTCTCTGCCTTACGACCTGGTGGGCAGGGTGCAGGTCCTCGGTGCATACAGCAGGAGCCACATGGTGGCACAAGCCCTGGGGGTGTCTGCTCCAGGGTCTGCCACGTCTCCCCGACGTAACAGCGCTCTTGTGGGGACCCTGTGACTTAAACTTCAGCCCTGAGTGTCAGCATCACTGAGGCTGAGCCGGCTCAGGAAGGAAAAGAGGATCAGCGAATGGGGAGTGGGCAGGTGGACGGATGGGCGGAGGAGGTCACCGGGCTTGGCTGGTGACAGGGGCAGAAACTCTGGGGAAATGATCCGTGTCCTGATTTTATTGGAACCAATTTTCTTGCACTTTGCAGAGACAGGTCTCAGTTGCCTCTGCCTCCGTGGAAGCACGTCAGACTTTAATGGCCTGGGCGTCCAGGACACTGCCTGGGGTCCATGTGCCCATGGACACGAGCGTCTCCTGAGTGACAGCCATTTTGATTGGCCAACATCTCTACCCTCCCACACATGGTCCACGAGAGGGAGACACACAGATACAGGCACCCAGCCCCTGTCTGGACAGATGTCACTGTTCAAAACCAGTGGAAGTGGGCCCAGGTCTGCCAAGTGGCCCAGAAGCCCGGGTAGGGAAGGAAAAATCCCCTGGGAACCCTCTCCTGGGATGGCGGATGGCAGATGGTGGATGGCGGTGCAGAAGGGAGGGGGGCAGCAAGGCCGGGGCCTAGCTGGCCCAAAAGGAATGTTCTTGCAGGCACACGGAGCAGCCGGTTCACAGAGCAAAGAGCGTCTCTCATAATCAGCCCATCCGTCTCTCCCAAGTGTGTCTCCCAAGCACGTGCCGTGACCTTCAAAGAAAAATGGCACCTCCGCTCTCCGAGGGCGCCCGGAAGCCAGCGAGCACTCAGCAAACGCTCAGGCGGCCCTAGCCGCGGGCGCTGAAGCCGACCTTCTGCAGCACGCGCTCAAAAGACACCTGCCAAGTGGACAAATGACCAGGATGCGCCCTGGACCGTACCGGTGTCACAGCCTCTGACCAAGAGGACTCAGACCGCGTCACGGTGGTGCCTGAGTCTGCGGCACCAGCGGGGCGGCCACGGGGTCAAGGCCGAGGGTGCTGTGGAGGGGTCATGCCCCTCTGCGGCCACTGTTGTCCTTGATCCCAACCCAGGCTGCTCCTGGCTGAGCCCACAGCGGGGTCTCTGGGGTGGGCAGCGAGTGCCCCGGCCCCAAGCCACTGACCTGGACCTGCCACGTCACTCCTTTGAAGGCAGGTGTCGTGGTTGCTGGCCCCCAACCAGGGCACAGCCCATCAAGCACTCAAAGGAAGCAAGAAGGTAATTCTCACTGTTTACCGCACACACCCTGTTTGCCTTCACCTCCAGGGCAGGGAAGGCGTCAGCGCAGAGGCACGGCCTCCAGCTCCCTGCTGCGTGTGGCTGCCAGGACCACTCCACGCGGGGACACCTGTAGGCACGAGTTTCCAGTGCAGGCAAGGGAGGCCTGGAGCCTAATTCTGCCCGCTCGGTCTACACTGGTGGTGGCCTGTGCAGGGTCAGCTGCAGCCCAGGGTGGTCGTGCGGACGACAGCTCCGCCCACCCCGGCCCGCCCACCCCGGCTCACCAGCCCCTCCTTTCCCAGCACCGCTGTCAGACTTGGGCTTCCGAGGCAGCGGCACAAGTTCTGCGCTGGGAGGCTGCTGGCGGCTGGGGTATGAAAGGACAGCCAGCGGGGACAGCCAGCCGCTCTGGCACACCCCGCCCCTACCACGCAGGGGTGTGGAGGTCCCGCCCAGACGCTCCTTCCCTCTCCCACCCTGGGATGGAGGAAGCCCCTTCACCTCCACCTCTGCCCACGTCCTCGGCCACGATGCCATTCAAAGTGGTATCTCTTCCAGCACTAGCTTCGGTGGACACCCTCCTCCCACTTCAGGGCCCTGCCTGATAAGACCTCTTTCTCTCCAGGACCAGAAGCCCCCTACCCTGCCAGGCTGCCTCAGCCAAGCCGATTCCCAGGGAGGGCTCCCACCTGGGTTCCCACCAGACCCTCGGAGAGCCATTGGTCACCCGGCTCCAGGGTCGTTCACCTCACATGGGCCCACCGCCAGCCACCATGCCCAAATACCTCGGAATCTCCCAGCAGGAACAATGTTGTCACCACCATCACCAATAAGAACACCTTGAGTGCTTCTGCAAGCGGGGAACCGCGAGGGCCCTTCCCCAACACTCTCTCTTGAA